TAAAAATGTGTCGTTTTGTCTTTCTATCATTTGTATTTATCAGCTGGAATAAAGACTATTTATGCTCCTGTGTCAGGTAAGCTCTTTATTTCTCTGCTCTGGATGTTGTTAAATGTCAATGTTTCTGATATTTAAAGTGTTTATGTGGTAATAATATTTATACAGCAGCAGCTGAAAACCTTAAAGCTGATTTAAACCTGCAGTTCATAAATAAAAGAAACAGCAGAACTAACGTACGTGTGTGTGTGTGTGTGTGTGTGTGTGTGTGTGTGTGTGTGTGTGTGTAGTTGGCAATGGCGTTGTGAGCACTCCTCTAACCAATGGTAGGTGCCCCTCCAACAAAGATTCATACAAAATAGTTTGTTGAACTTTATATTAATTTTTTCTGTGTGTGGGGTCAACATGTGACCCTGTGAAGACTCCCCAAAACTGGTACCAGGAGTCTAGCGGTACATTTGAACAAAAGGCTCTTACACTCAAACAGATATACGTGTGTTTGCTATACCATATATCAGAAAGAGTAGATACGACCTCTCCTAGGAGGTGTGATCTATGCCAGAACACTCTGAAGAGGAGTGAACGCACCCCCCTCTTCACTCTTCACAGAGTTGTTACAGACCTCCTAGGATGAGACATTCTTTCAATATGCCATCAACTATATAAATAAATATCTAAACACAAGTGATTACATGTTTCTCAATACAAATGACAATAATAAAATATAAACCCAACAGTTTCCTTCTCCTTCCTCAGATACACATAACAGTTTATTTTAAGACCCAGTAGATTGTAGAGGATGTTCTTCATATTCTGTGTGTTTTATGCCTCTTTTATATCAGTCGTTCTCCATCTGTGGGGCACAGAGTGGGATGTAGAGGACCAGTGAAACAAATTTCTATGAGAGTCATTGTTGCATTAAAATGAAACTTTGATAACTTTTATTGATAATGGTGAATAAAAATTGTGTGACGTGGATGTTTTTTACTTTCTGAATTGGAACAAAAAGGTTTTTAGGAACGTCGACTCCTTTCCTGCAGGCTTTCCTCCACGTTCCTTTGATGTGAGGTGTTCAAGAACACTGGGAATTCCCATGTTTATCTTTAAATTATGACTACAAATATAACCCGGTCTATACTCTCCCACTCTTAACTACATGACAGCACCACTTATCACCTTAGCCTGTGAGAAACTGCAGTAATCAATGAAAGGAACGACCGTCCCATCAGAACGATCACCAGCATCACATCAGTGTGTTGCTAAAGTTTGCTGTTTTGCTTCATGTAGCTCACAATGTATGTTGTCTTTACAGGAAGTGTAGCAGTTAATATAGATAAGAAGGCTGATGCTAAAGATGGGAAGGCTGGGGAAACCGAACTTCTCACAGGCAGTGACAGTAAGTGTCCCTCAGCTAACATGCTGCTCTGTGTTGTATAATATGAGTCACATTATCCTGTACTGTGGTATTGACTGATACATTTTAAGCTCATGTTGCAGCTGATTACTTTTTTCCTCCTTCACAGAGTCCCTTGACAAAGTGTCTAACTCCAGCAACGCTGACTCTGGTGTCTCTTGTAAGTATCTCTGATGCACTTCAGATTTACACTTTAACACAGGCTAAACGGTAACTGGTCTGTATTTGTACAGCGCTTTACACATCCAGTCATCCACACATTCACACACTGGTGATGGCAGCTACATTGTAGCCACAGCTAGTTTTTATTGTATCGCAAACTTTGTTCACACTCAGCTGATGTCAGTATGAAGCTCAGGTGACGACGATGCTTCCCCTTTCAGTTTCTCTGTTCCCTTTCAAACTTTAGAGACTTTATTTGAAAGAAGACACTAGTGTGAGTGTAAATAAGAGCAGTGAGCTGTAAAGACCGATTAAAGTGAA